CGCGACCCCCGGCGCAGGCCGGGCGGCCGTGCGCACCTTCGTGTCGCACTTCGGGGGCCGCGCGGTGGCGGGCCACTTGACGCGCGTCGCCGATCCCTTGCGCACGTTCTCGGTGCTGGAGCCGGGCGGGCCCGGAGGCTGCGCGCAGAGGCGCCGCGCCACCGTAGAGAACACGGCGCGGGCTGCCGGCTGCCTCGTCGCCCAGAACGGCGGCTTCTTCCGCATGAGCACCGGCGACTGCCTGGGAAACGTGGTGAGCGACGCGCGGCGGGTGAGCGACGCCGGGGGGCTGCAGAACGCGCAGTTCGGGATCCGCCGCGACGGGACCCTGGTCACCGGGTGAGCAGACTGGGCGGCCCCGTGGCTGTCGAGGGCGGAGGACCTGGACATAGTTGTGGGCGTGCGGTTGTGTTCAGCTGACCTAAGCAAAGCTGAGCCCCGTTTTCTCTTCTACAGCATGGGGATAGGAACGCGTTTCTTGCAGAGTTTAGTCATCACCCCGTGTGTGACATAGAGCACTATGTTTGGGTCAGCCAATGTGCTGTGTCCGGGGGGAGGTGACGTTGAGCAAGCAAGCTCTTGCTTTAAGAGACTCCCCCTCACCCCACTACTAGGGAAAGTAAACGAAAGTCGGGTAAGTAATGATAACATCAGACTGTGTGTGTTCAGCAAAGCAGCGATGGCATGGACCAGTTGTAAAAAAGAGTGTTGACTTTAGGTAGGGTGGTGAAGAAAGGACATGTCTGGAAGGTGATCTTTAAGAGACCTGAAGCTTAACAGCCTAGGTCACAACTGGAGGAAAAGCATTCCAGGCAAAAGGAACAGCAAGCACAAAGGCTCAGAGGCGCAGGAAGGCTTGGTGTGTGAGAGGGATCCACAAGAGGAATGGGATATCAGAAGGTGACAGCGCCGGTCAATTAAGAACTTGCTCTGACTCTGGGAGGTGGGGAGGGCTAGGCTGGAAAAGAAAAGGGACCAGTTAAGGAGCTGGCACATAGATTGGCTGCTGAGGGCCACAGAGAGATTGGAGATCTGTTTGCTAGGCACTTACAGGCAGGTGCTCTACCACTTGAGCCACTTGGCCAGCCCTTGTGGACTGTTTGCAAAGGTGTGGTGGGGGTGGGTTTTGTCCTAGCCCTGCCTCAGTCCTTCCAGCAGTGGCTCTGACAGTAGGGAAATTGCAGAGACTGGCAGAGCCCACAGCCAAACTGAGACCCTGAGGAAGGATGCATTACCCATCCCCCAGGACTGGCCCTACTGGTGAATGAGCCTCATGCTTTCCCTGTGTCCAGGTACCTGTCTGAGGAGGAGGTGCTGGACTCGGAGAATCCATTTGTGCAGCTGCTGAGCGGGGTGGTGTGGCTGATTCGAAATGGAAGCGTATACATCAACGAGAGCCAGGCCACCGAGTGTGATGAGACACAGGAGACAGGTGGGGGAGGGCTGGGCTGGAGGCTGTCACAGCAGCTCCCTTGGAACCAGGAACAGAGTGGAGTGGGCTGTTCTTAAGTCTTTTCATAAGGTTTTGTTGAGCTCCTAGTTTGTGCTTAGCACTATTCTGGGTGCTAGGAAGCTGTAGGAATTAAGATTTATTTTAGCCGGGCGCTAATGACTCACGCCTGTAATCCCAGCTGCTCAGGAGGTAGAGGCAGGACGATGGAGAGTTCAAGGGCAAAGCAGGCAAAGTTTGCAAGACCCTGTCTCAAAAGCAGAATACAAACAAAAGGGCTGGGCATGTGGCTCAAGTAGGTTTTGCCAAACATTCACAAGAGCCTGGGTTCAATCCCCAGAACCAGAAGGAAAACCAAAAATATTCAGTGGAAGCCATTAGCAGTTTCCTCAGGAGGGCATCACCTGGTGCCCATTGAAGAGCTCTCTAGCTGCAGCATGGACACTGAGTGAACAGGGCAGGGGAGGCAGGGAGCCCCGTGAAGGCTATCTGTGTCCAAGGGCTAGGCAGTGGGCAACTGGGGCCGGGAGGTGGAGAGTGGTGTTTGGTAAGGGGCACGAGGCAGAGCCAGGAGGCCTCCCAAAGCACTGACTGGGTGATCAGCCAGGCCACCTCTCCAGGTTCCTTTAGCAAATTTGTGAACGTGATGTCGGCCAGGACAGCCGTGGGCCACGACCGGAAAGGACAGCTGGTGCTCTTTCATGCAGATGGACAGACAGAGCAGCGAGGGTGAGTCCAGGAACTGGGGCCTCCAGGCTAGGGCTGAGTCCTGCTTTGAGGGACATTGACCCCCTGATGACTGCTCTTTTGACCCATTTGTCCCCCGCCTTCCCACAGGAAGACAGTCCCTCATTCTGTCCTACTTCCAGGAACTCTTTGTCCTCCCCTCGGGCCCCCTCAGCTTCCCACACCTAGGCCTCATCTCTTCTGTGCCCCAGGTGGCCTTAGAGGTAGCATGTGAGGACCTGGGTTCCAATCCTAGCTCAGCCATCAGTAGCTGTGGCTGTAGATAAGTCACTCAGCTTCTCTGAGCCAGAGGTTGATCCACTGCAGAATCTGTCATTGTCCCTCTGCTATTGCTGTACAGCACATTAGCATAATGTAGCAACTTAAAATAGCACCCAGGTGCTGGATCACAGTTTCATAGGTCAGAACTCTGGAAATACTCAGTAGGGGATGTTCTATGTCCAGGGTGGCCCAAGACCAAATCAAGGTGTTGGTCATACGGGGATCTTACCTGGAGCTTCTTCCTCTCCACCCCCCACTACTGGGGTTTGAACTCAGGGCCTCATGTTTGCTATGACCTGAGCCATGACCCCAGCCCTTTTTGCTTTTAGTTCTTTTTCTGGTAGGGTCTTTTATGCCTGGTAGACTTGGATTGCAAACCTCTTATCCATGCCTCCTGTATAGCTTGGATGACAGGCACACGCCACCATATCCAACTTACTGATTGAGATAGGGTCTCACTAACATTTTGCCTAGTCTGGCCTCAAACTGCAACCTTCCCAGTCTCTGCCTCAGGAGTAGCTGGGATTACAGGTATGAGCCACCACACTGACCTTCTAATCTGGCACTTCTGAGAAGGAATCCTCTTCCAAGCTCACAGCTTTTTGAGGCAGAGGACATTGGCAGATAACCCAGGCTAGCCTTGAACTTGCAATCCACCTGCCTTAGGCTTCTAGATGCTGGGATTACAGGCATGCACCACTACTCCCTGTTCAGGACTGAGTGTTTGTGCCCTGGCCAGCTGCCAGCTGAGGGCCTTTAGTTCCCTAAGATTGTCCATGTTCCTTCATAAGGAAGTCCCCTCCCCCAGATTTGACACCACAGAGGTGTGCTGATCCCCTCCTACCTGCTGCTGCTATACCTCTCGCTTCTTCCCCTGCCACTGGCCAGTCAAAGCACTCTGCTTTTAAGAGCTCCCATGATTCCCTTGGATCCACCCAGATAAATCTAACTGTGCCACATGCCGGCACAGTCATGGGAGTGGTCCTCAGTCATGTTCCCAGCTTTGGGGGATTGGGACAGAACATCCTTCGGGGACCTTTTGGAAATGTGGAGCTTGGTTGAACCAGAGTCAGCAGTGGGAATGCTCCACACCCCTATTCTCTGCTGCAGCATTAACCTGTGGGAGATGGCGGAGTTCCTCCTGCAGCAGGACGTGGTCAACGCCATCAACCTGGATGGGGGTGGTTCGGCCACCTTCGTGCTCAACGGGACCTTGGCCAGTTACCCGTCGGATCACTGGTACTGCATCCATGGGGCCCTGGGGAATCAAGAATGAGCAAAAGAGCCAAGACCCCTATTCTCAGCATGCCAGGACTGCCCGCACCGGTGGATGAGGCCATGGGTCAGGAAAGATCTCACTGAGAACAGTGGAAGAAGAGCTGAGATGGAACGATGAGGTGGCTGGGTGGGAATGAGGGAGCCCTCTGGGCAGAGGGCACAGTACATGCAAAGGCCCTGGGGTGGAGGGATAAGAATGAGCAGGACACCGCTGCCTCTACACACACGTCGCCTCCCTTGCAGCCAGGACAGCATGTGGCGCTGTCCCCGCCATGTGTCCACTGTGGTGTGTGTGCACGAGCCCCGCTGCCAGCCGCCTGACTGCAGTGGCCACGGCACTTGTGTGGAGGGCCGCTGTGAGTGCTCAGGGAGCTTCTGGCGGGGTGCGGCCTGCAACGAGCTGGACTGCGGCTCCTCCAACTGCAGCAGGCACGGGCTGTGCACAGAGAGTGAGTGGGGGCAGTGGAGGCTCTGGTGGGACCCTGGTTTGCCCAGCCCTGCCCTGCCTGCCCCCTCACCTGGCCTCCTTGTCGTGTCTTGTCTTGGCAGCTGGCTGCCGCTGTGACTCGGGGTGGACAGGGTCCAACTGCAGTGAAGGTAAGAGCCACCAGGTAGAGGAGGGGCTGCTGGTAGCTTCAAGCTCCTTGCTCCGCCGCCTGTCGCACCGTCTGCTTTGGGAATTGCCTCCTGGCTCCTGGCTCCTGGCTCTTGCTGTGTGTCCTGTGTGTGTGAATTTCAGTCTGGGTTTCTTCTGCCACTGCTACAAGTTCCACAATATGGATGGCCAGAATAGCAGCAGTGGGGCTGTGCCCCCTCTCCCCCGTCCTCAGGGATCCTCACTGCCTCTTTGAAGCAGCTTCTGCTGTTGCTATTTGGGTGATGTCACTGAGGTCTCCACCATGTCTAATCTCTCTCCTCAGGACCACAGGCCATCAGCTCTGTGGCCCACCTTAAATCCAGGATGATGTCATATTGAGATCCTTAGTTAACGACACCTGCAGAGATTTTTTAGGCAGGTCTCCTTCAGGAGGTAGCCTGGGGAAGCAGGGGCTTCTCTGCCAGCCCTGCCCACACCCAAGCTGTCCTGTTCTACAGGAAGAGACCCCAGTGCCTGAGATCTTCACTTCTGTCCTCCTGTCTCCTCTCCACAGAGTGTCCCCTGGGCTGGTATGGGCCAGGATGCCAGAGGCCTTGCCGGTGTGAGCACCAGTGTCCCTGTGACCCCCAGACTGGTGATTGCATCAGCTCCCAAGGTACAGGACCCTGGGACACGTGGGCTGGGGAAGGCAACTGTCCTCCCCCAGCCCTGATGCCTCTGCTTGTCTCTTGCAGTGAAACAGTGTCTCTGGGCTCCAGAGGTGACCCCAAGGGCAGCAGAGCTCTCCTTTTTCACCAGGTAGGTGCTGGGGTCCCCACACCCTCCGTGAGGTATAGCGTCTGTGCAGGGACTGGCGAGTTGGAAAATGGCACTTGATGCCAGGTGATGCTTCTCCATCATAAGAACAGGGACAGGCACAGCCAAGGCCAGGCCAGTGACGGGGACCTGGTCCCAACCCAGCAGGAGTCACGCCATGCACCCACAGGCTTGTCTCCCAGGCCACAAAGACTTGGGGCTTATTTTCTCAGCTCAGTCACTAGTGCGGAGACCCAGGGGACTCACTTTGTTTCCTTGGTGCTGATGGGTCTCACACTTGATCTCCAGAGATCGCTGGGCACCAGTTGCAGTGAGGACCTTCAATAATCCCAGCTACTTGAAAGGTGGAGGTAGGAGGATCACGGTCCAAGGCTGGCCCAGGCAAAAGCTCAAAACCCTATCTGAAAAACAAACTAAAGCAAAAAGGACAGGGAGGGGGTTTTGGCTCAGAGGCCCTGAGTTCAACCCCTAGTACTGACAAAAAGAGGGATTTCTGGGCCACACCCCAAGGCTCCTGTACCCCAAAGTCTGGGATGAAGCTGAGACTCTGCATTTCTCATCAATCCTGGGTAAAGTGTTAGACCCGCTGACCTGGGGATGGACTGCATGGGTTCTGGAGATGGTGTGGGGGTGAATACCCCTGTCCCAGGGGGAGCGCCTGGGAGCTGGTCAGAAGGGCAGGTTGCTGGCCCCTCCTGGAGGTCCTAACCCAGGTGTCTGGAGAGCCCCCAAAGGCTCAGCACACATGTGGAGAAAACTCAAGACATACGGTTAGAAAATGCACCATAGCAAAGACAAAGAGGAGATCATGGAGCCAAGGCCTTAGGTACAGGTTCCTCTAAGTTGTGTGATCTGAGCCCTGAGCCCTGCAGACCTGAAGACCATGCTCATGGTGGCAGGCCAGCTCCCTGCTCAGTCCTAGTGGCTATTCCTTCCCCAAGCTAGCGGTTCTGCCTAAGACTTGTGCAGAAAAGAACGGCCTCAGAGACCAGCCCCACCCCCAGCCTTAGAGGATGGAGGGGCAGGGCTCTTTCTACCCTGTCTGCTTTGGGGACACTGGAGCAGAGCCTGGCCCCAATTGTCAACAGCCCCTGGAGCACAGGGTGCAGCTGAGGCCTCCTGGGCTGGATATGGTCACTCCTCACTGTGTTTTATTTGGCCTGCACAATTTAAAATTTACAGTCCAATTGTAACATCTGAAAATCAGTAACATACACATTAAAAAAAAATTTAGCTGGGTGCAGTGGCTCATGCCTTTAATTGCAGCTACCTGGGAGGCAGAGGTCAGGAGGATTGCAGATGGAGGCCAACCTGGGCAAAATGTTGGTGAGACCCCATTTCAACAAAAAAGCCAGGCTTGGTGAAACGCTTGTCATCCCAGCTGGGCAGGAGGTGGAGGTAGGAGGATCATGGTCTAAGGCCAGCCCTGGGCAAAAAAGCATGAGACCCTACCTAAAAATAAGACAAAAGGGGCTTGGAGGCCTGGCTCAAGTGGTAGAGCACCTGTTTAGCAAGCACCAAGCCCTGAGTTCAACCCCAGTACCAGCAAGAAAAAAGACTTTTTTTTTTTAATGTTTTTTTTTTTTCTCTCTCTCTCTCTCTTTTTTGTTTGGGTGTTTGTTTTGGTTTGGTTTTGGTGGGACTGGGGTTTGAACTCAGGGCTTTAATTGAGCCACACCTCCAATCCATTTTCCTCTGGTTATGTTTACCTGGACTGGCCTCAAACTTTGATCCTCCCAATCTCAGCCTCCCAAGTAGCTAGGATAATGGTTTCCCCTGAAGCATCAGAAGGTCTGGTCCCTCATGGTGACTATTCCCTGCTGCTCCATGTTTGTATCTTCATTGTGCCCCCCACCCTCCTGGCCCATCTGGCTCAAAGTTCCCGTGTGGGCCCAGGAATCCCCTCCTTGCTTCCCCAGCCCTGACACTGCCCAGTAGCCCCCATTTGGTCTCTTCTGTCCCCAGGACCACCTGGCTGGCCCTCACCCTGGCCCTGGTTTTCTTGCTGCTGATCAGCATCTCAGCGAACGTGTCCTTGCTCCTGGGCTCCAGAGGCGAGAGGAACCGGCACCTGGATGGGGACTATGTGTACCACCCCCTGCAGGAGATGAACGGGGATCTCCTGGCCATCGAGAAGGAGCAACCCGGGGACGTCCGTGAGCCCTTCAAGGACTGACAGCCCGAGCGGCTAGGACGGCCCATTGTGGAGGCTTGTGTTCACGTTGGCCTCTGCCATGAGGCACTGTGGCCACTGACATAGACACCTGGGTGGCCTCAGCCAGGCCCCGCTGCCTCCATCCCCCTCCCAGCCATGGCCCCACCTGGCTATCTGCATGGTACATGCGACCCCAGCAATACAGGGCTGCTAGAGAGACTGCCTGCCTCACACCTGCCTGGCTCTGCCACCTAGAGGCCATCCCCCGGAAGGCCTGTGCCACTGGCAGAGAGTCCCAGGAGGTCCACTAGCAAACCAGCCAGTGACTGCATTGTGACATGCAGATCCCAGCCTGCCTCCTGGACAGGTGGAGGAAAGACAAGAATCTGCCCTGACCACATCACAGAACCCTTTTCTACACAGCACATCACCGACTTGCCAGCCAGAGTCAGGATCCTTCTTGGAAGGACAGGGAAGGCAAAGCCACCTTGCTCACTGACCTGTGTGGTTTCCCACTGCCTGCCGGTTTTCTGTCACCTGAATAAATTGACGTCCTGCAGGGAGCCACTAGGTGGCGTCTGCACTCCAGTCCTGGTCTTGAGGACTCTCCAGGCTCCTAACCCCAGGGGAACCGAGGCACTGGGGCCTCCCTTGTGATCCAGTGCTTCCGAAGCCTTGCTGTGCACAGCATCGTTGGAGGATCATGGTAAAACGCGAGCCAGAGCTGTGTGGGGCTGGATCTCGCTTTTCTCGCAACCTCCATGTGTTGGTGCTGAGTCCTCACAGAATTTAAGTTTTTTTGTAGTTTTTCTGCAATGCTGGGGTTTAAACTCAGGGCCTCACACTTGCTAGGCAGGTGCTCTGTCACTTGAGCCACTCCACCAGCCCTTTCTTGCTTTAGTTATTTTTTAGGGAGGGTCTCATGCTTTTTGTCTGGGCCAGCCTTGGACTGCTGTCCTCTTGCTTCTGCCTCCTGCCTAACGGGGACTGCAGACATGCACCACTGCACCTGGCTTACTGAGTGAGGTAGACTGATTGTTCTTGTCAGGGCTGACCTTGAACCACTGTCCTCCTACCTCTGCCTCCACATAGCTGGGATTACAAGCGTCGCCTGTTTAAGGTCAGGAGGTCAGCACAAACTGCAGTTTCTGCTTTGTTTTTAGCAGAGAGCATTCTGGCACTCTTAGGGTGACCTGCCCAGCCCTGTGTCAGAACTGGTTACTGTGGCCAAGGAAGGGTCTTCAAGAAGGGCCTGCAAGACCCTGGAAATGATCTTGTGCTCAGCGTTTTGGGAATGGAGACGGGCAGAGCTTTCAGCAAGTCCCAGCCCCCAAATGTGATCTGTCTGGTACCCACCACTATATAACACTCAGCTTAGCAGCATGAAACAGCCAGTTGAGCTTCTCTTGGAAAACTACTCTTTCTCACATTGTAGGTCACCCAGGGACTCTGCCAACCTGGACTAGGATCAGCGACTTAGCTGGGCCCAGCTCCTGTCTGCAGTCAGCTATCGTCCAGGGGCTGCCTGGTGTGGGGTGGTGAATGCTGAGGACAAGGGGCTTACTCAGGCATGGGTCCCTGTGGAGACGGGTGCAAGAGAGGGAGGAAGGGACAGAGGTGTGCGGGACTGCAGTTGAAGGTAGTGTGACCTCCCTTCTCCACATTCTGTCAGATAAACCAAGTTGCCAATCTAGCCCTGGTTCAAGGCCAGACAGGTGGGGGAGGGTCCTGAATCCACAGGAAGCGCCCCCAGGGGGTCTGAGGCAGCAGTTCTATGAGCCTTTCCTGAGCTTCTTTGTGCTGACAGCTAAGCTGAGCAAGTGACTACTGTGCATCCACTTAGCAGGATCTAGACCCAGCCAGAGCAAGCGGACCTGGAGTGGGTCTGCCATGGCATGCTGCGGGGGTCCCTACAAGGTGATGACAGCCATGTGAACCTCCCTGGGGCCTTGCAGAACTGATTTTGTCACACAGTTGTCTGTTATCTTTGCCTACCCAACATCCAGTTCCTCTTTTATTATTTTGTTTTGTTGGTTTTTGAGGCCAGCCGACCTTGAACTTGAGATCCTCCTGCCTCAGCCTCTGGGATGCTGAGATTACAGTTGTGCACAACCATTCTCACCTCAGGCCCTCTTTTAGTAACACCTCTGCCTGTAGCTGAGCTGACCCTGAGCAAGTGGTTTCAGAGGTGACTCCAGGAAGTGCCAGTAGGGTGAAGGAAGGGAAGGGAAGGCAGCCAGGTGAACAGTGAGCAGGGGCTTGGTCCTGCTGGGGACCTCTGGGGCTGTAAGACATGCTTTGGGCTGTAGACTACTGGAGGCCAAAGAAGCTGGGCGTGTGTTTATCAGCACCCATTATTGCTGGTGTGGCTGCTCCTGGGGTCACTTCTCCAATGCCCTCCAGAGGGACAGAGTGCTCAGATGGCCAACAGACAGAAAGGTGTGGCTTCTTGTATCAAGACACCCTCTGGGGGCCTGGAGTGGTGATGCATAGCTATAATCCCAGCACTCAGGAGGTTGAGCCCTCTGTGGTATGTGGGTGTCCAGGAAACTGGGCAGGTGCCAAGAGCCTTGGCTGAGGGTCTCTTACCATGACCTTTAGGGCACTAACTGTCCATCCAGGTGCTGTGGCTGCCATTGTCCCTTCCCTCTCCCACCAAGTTTGAGATGGGCTTCAGGGATTGGTCCAGACATGGGCATTTGTGACAGGTCAGTCAGTCAGTACCCAGCTCACACCTGGTGCTGAAATGGTCCAATTCCCAGGGTGAGAACCACTCAGAGGAGTGTGGGCAGTACCTGACCTGAACCGAGGCAGAGGGAGCAGCCAATGGGCGTAAGAACCAAAGAGTGGGGAGAGACAGGATAGGGTTTGAGCACATGGATCTGGCTATATCTGATGTCAGTCATCTTGGACTTGGCAGGAACGTGGACCAATAAATCCTTGTTCTTGTTTGAGATAGTTTGTGTTTGATCTTGGGGCAACCGAAAGAGTGTGACACCCATCATGTACCATCCAGGACAGGCACTGTTTTGGGTTGCTTTGATTTGTGTGGTGCTGGGGATGGAACCCAGGGCCTCATGCATGCTAGGCAAATGCTTCGCCACTAGGCTGCACCCCAGCCTTGCACTTAGATGGGAAGTGGGGTTCCAATACCTACTGGGGGGCACATGTGACAAATACACATGGAGCTGCAGTCAGGCGGGTCGGGAATCGGCGCACTGGTGATGGCAGTGCGGAGGTCTCTGACCACTGGGCAGCCACCACCCATAGTGACATGTGTCAGCAGCTGGGAGCTCTCCTAGAACCTTAGCATTGGGAGAGACCCCAGGAAGATTCTTTTGGGGGTCAGGGCAGGCTGTTTAGGGCCCTTTGGAGCCCTGAGATTAAAATGTTACATGCCGGTGTCGAAGTGTGGCAGGCCGTGGTCGAGGGTCCTTGCCTCCACAGGCCAGGGATCTGACTCATGAGGCAGCTGACTGCTGAGCCAATGTCTTTATATGAAGTAGGATTTATTAGAGAGAAAGGAAAGGTTACAGCTAAGGTACTGCAGCGAGCCTGGAAGCCGGTAACTCCCTGCTCAGGTGAAGGTTGGGGCTTTTTAAGGACACTTTAACTCTGGGTTAGTGTATCAGTCAGGTGGGGTTTTTTTTCTATTGGCCATGTATTTGCACAGGGGCCCCCTTAGATGAGCTGGCCTGTTTACCCCTTATTGGCGGGTGTCGGGGGAACAACCTTGAGAGCATTTTGTTTATCAGTCCTGTGGCAGATTTTGGAGACCCTGTATCTCTTCCTCAGGGTGCATCCCTCTCAGGATGCAGGAATGTAGATTTATAACTCCTCAGGGTGCAGGGCTCATGGGGCTGTCCATGGGGGATGGGCTACTTACTCATCTGCCTTAGGTCTGCAGACCCAACAAGTCCCCCTCTGAGACAAGTACCCAACTGCTGTTGGGGAGAGGAGCGATGACTCATCCAGCTTCTTTGTGCTGACAGTGGGGCGACGGGTGGGGAAGGTGGTACTTGTCTCAGCGGTTGACCCGTGTAGTCTGTAAGGGCCCCTGATAGAATGGGATGGAGGGCTCATGTGCAGGCAGAGGTGTGTACTCCTTGACTAAAAGCTGGAGTTCGATCCGCTGGACCTGTTGAGATATGAGTCTGGAGAGAGCGTTTATTATACAAGACCCAAGTACGAGTATTAGAAGGAGCATTAAAAAGTGGGCCAGCCTGGGGTAGTGCCCAAGCTCCGCAGGTTGTCCCAGAAGGACCACAAATTGGCTAGTTCTTGTCTCCTTTTTGTAACACGTTCTTTTAACTGTCGGGCCATGTCTCTGACCACCCCAGATTTGTTAGTATAAAAGCAACATTCCTCATTTAGGAAAAGGCACGTTCCACCCTTTTCAGCAGTTAATAGGTCAAGTGCATACCTATTTTGGAGCACTACTGACGCGAGTGAATCTACCTGGTAAAGCCTCTATGGCTTGAGTGATCTGTTCTATGTCAGCATTAAATTCTGCTGACAGCTTTTGATAGGTATAGACTGAAGAGGAGACGCCCCCAATGCCGGTACTATTCCAGCTGTGATCCCCATAGCTATCAATAGGGGAATGATTTGGATTGCTCTTTTTGACCGAGTGTATGCCTCTAGAGAAATAGGAAGGGCTTGATTACCAGGGACAATATCAATTTGTGGGGTTAGGAGAGCCTTAGTACAGGTTCCCTTCCAGCCAGGAGGTAGGCAAGTGTAGGCAGCAGCTCCACAAACAAAGTAAGTTCCAGGACAAAATAAACACTGAGCGTTATTTGTTGACTGCATAATATTGATGCAAAAGATTTTGGGAATTTCCCCCAGTGGAATTGACCCCTGTGAACTTTGGAGGCACTGGGGAGCAGGATGGGTTAGTTCTATATTGGTAATACTAGGTTTTGTTAAGGGAGGGTTTAATTTATTACCTGGTGAGGCCTCAAGTGAATCCATGGGGGTTGCCAATACCTGTGGAAGACTGGGAGAGAGACAAAGCCAGCAATCCTCAGCCAAAGAGAGGTTTGTAGAGTTTAAAAGACGACAGGCAGAGTTTAGTAACCTGAACAGCTGGGGATTTACATCCATGGGTGGCTGAGGCTGTGGGAGTTATAATTTTTTCCTGGGAGGGGAGTGGCCAGTGGGAGTCTCTGCCACACATAATTTACATAAGCCTCCAATGACATGTCAATAACTATTTCAACTTTTGTTTTTATAGTCTTTTGGTTTTTTTATTTTTTGTCCCCTCCTGTGGCCAACAGATCCATTGGCCTGCCCTTCCTAGACAGTGGGTGGGACCATACATGCCAACAAAGCCTGTGCCTAATCCCTTGCCATATATTTTTCCATCTTTTAAACAGCAAAGTTTGCTGTACAACAACCAGGCGCAGCATTGTAGTAACTGCAGTCATGAGGGCAGGGAGGGGGACCCGCAGCCAAGGCACAGACTATAAGAGGAAGGAGAGCATGAAGAGCAGGTACACAGGACAAGATACCCGCCACTCAGGGCTACTCACTGGGCCACATCCACTCGGGGAGAAGTTGCCCACAGGCCGACACTTAGAAGAAAGGGACAAGGATAAAAACAGCTGTCATGGGTATTATGTTTGATGTGCATTAAGCGTATTGAAAAATTATATAAAAGTATAATACATTGTAAAACCTGTAGGAAAACAATACTGTGTGCACTTGTAAACACATACCACATGGCGCCCGGTATGCACAGCAGCCAACCCTCAGCTGGTGCCGATAAACCACTCCCTTATGAACACTTAGACCCCACTCGCCACGAGGCCATCGCCACCTCCTCCCGATCGACAGCACGCATCACGCCGGCCGGGAGCAGAGCTGGACGAGGTGGACCGGACTCTGCACGGCCCCTCGGAGTCCCTGGGTGTCCTGGAGGCGCATCGAGACTGAGAACTAGCCAGGACCGGTTCGGAGCCAGCCACCGCCAGGGGACTAAGATCACGGGCAAGGTGAGCACAGCTTGGGGAAGGCCGAGGCGCTATGGGGCATAGGTTGTAACTCCCTGCAATGAAGTGTGTGTATGAGCAACGCAGTTCCTGCCTAAGTTAATTCACTTAGCGCCTGACTGATGGGCAACTCACACGTTGCCTGCTCGAGACACAGCCCACAAAAAGGGAGGAAGTGAAGGCATAGGTTACGTGTTCGAGATGATGCTCCTTTTGAAAAGATATTTGAGGTCTTCCGCTGGCTCACAGGGGTAGGCTGGTGGAGCAGGGTGTGGCTCCAGGGTGGGTGCGTCAGGCTCAGGTGTCCATCGTTTGGCTTGGGAGATGTGAATCCAGGAGTCCAGCCCGGTGACCTTAATTCCTGTGGGGGTAGATAACAAGACCGGGTGTGGCCCTTCCCAAGGGGCTTCAGGGAGACCTTGGGAGTTATGGGGGAGTTTGATAAGGACTAAACCTCCAGAACAAAAGGCAGCCGGGGAGAGGCCTTGGAGTTCCTCCCTCCCTACTTCAGAGAGGACCTGCTGGAACCTGGCTAGGTGTGTGATATGAGAGACCAGGTTTGTTACTTCAGGCTTTTAAATCTTTTTGGAGAAAGGGTCTCCCATACAAGACTCCAAAGGGCGTAATGCCCATTTTATTTGGGGTGTTTCTGAGTCAGATTAAGGCTAGATGTAGTAATTTTTGCCAGGGAAGGTGAGTTTCCTGAGCCAGCTTAGACAGTGTCTCCTGAGTAATCCATTGGCTCACTCAACCTTGCCTGAGGACTGGGGTCTCCAGGCACAGTGGAGATGATATTTGCTTCCCAAAGCCCGAGAGACTCGGAGAGTGCAGTCCGAGGGAGTCCAAATCTAGGGGTGATCTCACTAATTAGCACCTTAATTACTTCTTGGGCCTTTTCAGAGGAGCAGGGGACTGCTTCAGCCCACCCAGTAAAGGTATCCACCAAAACCAGGAGCAATCTAAAGGCTGGGCCCCCTGGCAGGTGGGTGAAGTCAAGCTGCCAGTCCTCCCCTGCATATGTCCCCGCCTCTGGTTCAGGGACCGGCAGGCCAGTGTCACGGGGTTGTCATGCTGACAGATTTCACACCCTCTAATAATATCCTGGAGAGCATCTCCAAGTTTTATCCCCTCAAATAGTCACCCTGCCAAAGCGAGTGTCTTATGGACCCCCAAGTGATAGGTCTGGTGTAGGGTTTTAGGACCTTCCATGGCTACTCTGTGGGAGAAATAATTTGCCCTCAGGGTTATCCATCGTCCTCTATGATCTAAGCAATACCCTCTCTCTGAGCCTGTGAATGTTCGGTAGGCGAGCATTGGGGGCGTTCAGAAGGAAGGGGGAATTGTTCCCACAAGACGGGCTTGAACATAAGGCCTTCCAGTGGCCTCCTTCACTGCCATACCAGCTCTCTGGTTTCCCTTAGCAATCTGATCCTCTGACCTTTGATGTCCAGGGCAGTGAATTACTGCTATTTGTTTTGGAAGTAAAGCTGCTTTTAAGAGTTTTAAGATTTCCCTGGAATGTTTGATAGGAGACTCTTCAGTAGTTAACAATCCTTGCTCTTTCCAAAGGGCCACATGGGCAAGTAGGACAGGGAAAGCATACTTAAGAGTCTGTATAGATGTTGGCAGTTTTTCCCTCAGATAATTGTAACGCCTTAGTGAGAGCTATCAGCTCAGCCAGTTGGGCACTAGTGGAAGGAGGCAGAGGTTCAGCCGATAGGGTCTCAGTGAGAGAGACCACAGCTGCCCCTGCTCGTCTAGTTCCCTCCTAGATGAATGAACTTCTGTTTGTAAAGAGAGTGAGGTCAGGGCCCAAGAGTGGCTGGTCAAGGAGGTCAGGCCCAGCTGAATAACATTCAGCTAGCACTTCCTCACAGGAGTGCATGAGTGGCTCCCCCTCAGTGGGTAGGCGTGATGCTGGATTTTGGGCAGAGCACACCTGAAGGCTCACATCTGGATAGTCTAACAATTGGGCCTGATACGTAAGTAGCCTGTTGTCGGATAACCATAGTCCTCCTTTAGCTTCTAGAATCCTCCCTAGATCATGTAGAGTATATATGGTTAAGGGCCATCCAAGAATTAATTTTTGGGCCTCCGGGATCAAGAGGCAGGTTTCTGCCAGGGCCTTTAGGCTCCCAGGTCACCCTTTAGACACAGTGTCTAGTTCTTTGCTTAGATATCCCACTGGC